AAAATTCTGCATTGTGGGTCTACCTACAGCACGTGGACGGCAGCTGTTCAAGAAGCTAGCTCACCACCTCCTTCTCAAGGGCAACTAGAGATGAGCAATAAATGCTGGCCAGCCAACTGCTCCCACATCTCACAACTGAATTTTAAAAAAAAAAGTAAAGTTGAGGCTACAATCAGATCAACCACAATCTTGCGGAATGTTTGAGCAGACTGAGAGAGCTGAAGAGCTTACTCCTGCTCTTAAATCCTGCATCTCTATGCCATCAGACTAAACTCCTGGAACTCTCTCCCTAATAGCACTATAAATTTACCAACATCAGATGGACTGCAGCACCTCCATCTCAATGACAATTAGGGACAGACAATAAAATGTTGAGCTTGTTAGCATCGTGCACATCCTGAGAACAAGGACACGTGAACTTTGATGCTCTCTTTTCTTCTCCTCTTACCCTGCATAGTCTCATTGGAGTCTGAATACAACATTCCATTAATCTTAGTCTCAGATACCTTCCTGTGGAATATCCTTGGAGTTGACTGCTGTATTCACTTCATGTACCATTAAGCAAACTGATTGATCTGTGTAGACAGTGCAATGGAACAGAACACATGTGCGCCGCAGGCACTGAGAAGCTGGCCAACAAATAGTGCAGACATGTCTATATCAAGAATGGAAATATTCAACCTGACTAAAGATGATCCGTTTCTTGCTAAATCTGAAAGCATCACAGCAAGGCAAAGCATCAACAGACAAACACTCAAACCTATACCTACTGCTGGTCAAAATGAGTTGTAGACACAAACAACTCTCACACGTTCACTGCCAAACCCAGTAACTAAACCCTCACCACTACCCCCAAACAACACCCACTACCCTCCCCCCGACCCCCCTCCCAAACCCAGGTATAACTAAACCCTCACCCCCAAACCTGGGTACAATTGTTGCATCCAATAATCCAGTCTCAAGTCAGATGCAATTTGAGAAGTCGATGGTGAGAATAGGGGATTACTCCAACACAGACAGTAGCGTATTTTTGCATCATTCTAGAGTTCAGCTAGTACTGTGGCTACTCAGTGTGTAACTAACATCTGTATTGACTATAAGACCATAAGACATAGGAGCAGAAATTAGGGCATTTGGCCCATCGAGTCTGCTCCGCCATTCAATCATGGCTGATAAGTTCCTCAACCATATTCTTCCGCTTTCTCCCCATAACCCTTGATCCCCTTGATAATCAAGAACCTATCTATCTCAGTCTTAAATGTACTCAATGACCTGGCCTCCACAGCCTTCTGTGGCAGTGAATTCCATAGATCCACCATTCTCTGGCTGAAGAAGTTTCTCCTTATCTCCGTTCTAAAAGGTCTTCCCTCTACTCTAAGGCTGTGCCCTTGGGTCCTAGACTCTCCTACCAATGGAAGCATCTTCCCAACATCCACTTTGTCCAGGCCATTCAGTATTTTGTAAGTTTCAATTAGGTCCCCCTTCATCCTTCTAACATAAGGTCAGGACATTCATACAAGGCTATGACTTGCACCACGATCCTGATACGAATCTGCTATGGAAAGGCTGACCATGCATAAATATTCATATAGTGATTCTTTAACTAACATCAACCAAAGGGTTCAAACACATTCCTGGTCCCAGGAAAATATCTGACTCTCAAAGCCTGTGGTCTCTGCAGCCACCAAGTGGGCACCAAGTATAATAGCATCCCAAAATCATACAACAATAAAGTGTCAAGATAATCTAGACAGGATAAGTTAGCATATCCAGATGAAAGAACCATGATCATAAGCCATAATGACTAAAAAAAAACTGATGATTTTATGGAAGGTTTAACGTGCTTCTAATTTCTGATATTTATTTGTCTTGAAGCAAACAGTGTGACATGAACAGGGCCACTCAATATGGCTTCATCAAGAACACTAAATATTCTGAGAAGAACAAGCTGAGGCATCAGGGAGTCTGGTAAAATTAAAACAAACATGAGCCCTGATTAGTCTCCACTTCCTCCTGAACTAACTCCAAAACTGCTCCGAAAATCATCCAAAGGACAAACAATTGAGCCAAATAAAAATTTATAATGTACAATACTGCTGTTAAGGGCCTCTTATGGTGTAATGATAGAGACTCTATCTTTGAGCCAGGAGACCTGCGTTCAAATCCCATGTGCTTCATAGGCGTATAACAAATCTGACAGGTTGATTTCAAAGTATCTACAATATTGCTGTGCAAATTCTCATTGTAATGTAAAATTCTGACGTTAACATATAATTTTACAGGAAGTATAGGAAGTCTAAAATCAAATGTTTAGACAATGTCAGAATGTAGGAAAGGCCATTTTAACCTGGTACACATTATCCTTCCAGATTGTTGCATTATCACAATGTAGCACCAAAATGCTTTGCACACAACCTAGATTACTAGCTCTTGCCAATGTTCCTTGCCCCAGGATAAAATAAACTCTCCCTAATATCAATTTGAAAATAAATCCAAATGTAGTGTTGTCCGTTACTACAAATTAAACAGGAATATTCTGGGTTTCATATATCTATTTTTTTGAATGCCCTGCCTTGTTTCTAGGTAGTAATTACTGGAGATGCTAAAGAAGGCTGTATTGAGAGTTTTACTTCACAGAGTCATATGATGCTCTAAGCCCAAGACAGAAGCAAGTGAAAGTACCCCTGAAATCCCCTGGAAAATTCAATCATGGGGCAAACAACAAAAGAGACATTGCCCTCTTAACTTGAATGCAAGTGAGCAAAATGTGCCTTCTGACATCCAACTGCATTGAAGAGACACACTGCAGGTGACTTATTGGACTTGGGAGTGAGTAGCCACTGCTTTCTTTTATTCTTTCACGGGATTTAGGTGTCACTGGCAAGGCCAGAATTTTTTGCCCATTCTTAAAAGCACTTAAACTAATTGGTTTGCTGGGCCATTTCAAAAGGCAATTGAGAATCAACAACATTGTTGTGGATGTCGAGGCCACACCAGGTAAGGATGGCAAATTTCCTTCCCTAAAGGACTTTAGTGACCCAGATGGGTTTTTTATGACAATCAATGATAGTTGTCATTGTCACCATGACTGATGTGGTTAAATGAACTCAAATTTCTCTAATTGCCACAATGATATTTGAACCAATGTCCACAAAGCATTAGCTTGGGGCTCTGCATTAAAAATTGAGTGAGATTAACATGATGTCACCATCACCCTCTTCACAGTACATTGTCAATGCCATTTTATGTTGTCAAGCGGCAGTAGTCCAAATTGCATGGGGCATGGAAAATGCCGAAGGAGGAAGGCAGAAGTGGAATTGGCACAGGCCTAGAAGTCAGACCAAGGAAGGCAGCTGACCCAAGAAGAGAGACCGACTGACAGGGAAACAGTGGAATGAATTTAGAACGTAGAATGCAAAATTTAGAAAATCAGTGATGCCCCTGGCTTGGAGGGAGGTTGTACAGGATGTTGGTGAGGCCTCTTCTGGAGTACTGTGTGCAGTTCTGGTCACCCTACTATAGAAAGGACATTATTAAATTGGAGAGGGTTCAGGAAAGATTTACCAGGATGTTTCCAGAAATGGAGAGTTTGAGTTATAAAATGTAGGCTAGAAAGGCTGGGACTTTTTCTCACTGGAGCATAAACATTGAGGGGTGACCTTACAGATGTTTATAAAATCATAATGGGCATAGGTAAGGAGAATTACAAAGATCTTTTCGTTAGGGTGGGAGAGTTCAAAACTAAGGGATATGTTTTTAAGGTGAGCAGAGACAGTTTTAAAAAAGACATGAAGGGCAACTTTTTTACACAGGGAGTAGTTCATGTGTGGAATGAACCGCCAGAGAAAGTGGTGGATGCAGGTACAGTAACAACGTTTAAAAGACATTTGGATAAGTTGATGAATAGGAAAGGTCTGGAGGAATATGGGCCAAATACCGGCAGTTGGGACTAGTTTAATTTGGGAACACGGTCGGCATGGATTACTTGGACTGAAAGGTCTAAGCTGTATGTGCCTATGGCTGGTTGGGTGCCCTTTATGTGTGGTGTGAAGACTTTTACCCCAGAAGATACCAAAACCTGAGAAGACTTCTTGGCCACCCCTGCCATAAGATTCACCAGCAACTCAATATACATTGAGTATATTGAGCTGAGAACAGTCCCATCACATGAGAGAAGCCGACTCACCCCCAAGTTTACGTGATGTTCAATTCCACACCCAAATCCCGAACCTAGACTCTGTAATAAAAGATTCACAGCTAGTATCAATAATGGTGACTAGGAGACTGTATTCAATTGTCATAAAAAACTACTTGGTTCACTGAAGTCCTTTCATGAAAGAAGTCCCTCACCCAGTCTGCCAATACGTGACTTCAGACCTAGATACTGTGGTTGACTCTTAAATGCCCACCAAAATGGCCTAACAAGCACTCAGTTCAAGGACAGAGAAGCTAGCCATGCAATCAATGCCCACATCCCACAAAAGAAAACAAAACACAAGTTTCTAAAACACTTTTCATGATTTCAGGATATTCCAAAGCACTTAACAGTCAATGATAATGCATTTCATAATGCAGTAACCGTTGGAAAGGTGCCAGTCAATTTGAACGCAAAAATGTCCAGAAACAGCATATGATAATGACAGGAACATTTATATTGCTCCTACTGGAAGAGAGATAAATTTTGGCAAAGATACTGCATAATCCTATCCTTCAAATATATCTAGTATCACAGCTCAGTTATGTTCACCTGAGAAGCTAGACAAGACCTAAGTTAGCAGCTTAATTGAAAGACAGTCATCCTATCAGCACAGTATACCATCAGCATTGCATCCATCAACAGTAGTAATCCTCTGACAGTACAGCTGTCTTTCTGTACCCACACTTTAGCCACTGAACTGAATGACCTGAATTATATATTTGGTTTCAAATGTCACAAGGATTTTCACATGAGTCACTTGGAGCTCTGGTTACTGTCTGCAAGTCAAAGCTATGTTACTTACCCGATAAATTCGAGCACCAATGAAATCTCAAGATGAGGTGATGACGGACAGTCCAGGGGAACCATGGGTAACGCCAGCTTCTTATCCAGCGATCGGATACGGTTCACTTTACCATTGTTGGGCACCTGGACAACTGTACAGCCACAGAACATGAGAAAGCATCAATGGTTAAGGTAGTTCACATGCAGAAACAACCTGCCTTTCCATAGCTCAAGGAGGGATTTTCAAACAAGATTTAATACTGAGCTACATTAGGAGATATTAAGCAGATGACCAAAGGCTTGGTCAAAGAGGTAGTTCTAAATGATCACCTTAGAGGAGGCCAGAGAGTTGGAGAGGTTTAGGGGAGGAATTCAAGAGGTTAGGGCCTAGGCAGCTGATGGCTGTCAATGGCAGAACAATTAAAACTGTTCAAGAGACCAGAACTAGAGAAGAGATAGTAGGAACTGCCGATGCTGGAGTCTGAGATAACAAGGCGTGGAGCTGGATGAACACAGCAGGCCAGGCAGCATCAGAGGAGTAGGCAAGCTGAAGAAGGGTCCCGACACGAAACGTCAGTTTTCCTGCTCCTCTGATGCTGCCTAGAACTAGAGAAGCGCAGATATCCCAGAGGGTTGTGGAGCTGAAAGAGATTACAGAGATAGGGAGAAGTGAGGAAATTGAGAGATTTGAAAACCTGGATGGGAATGAAAAAATTGAGACACTGCTAGACTGGGGTCAACATATGTCAGTGAGCAAAGAGGTGATGAGTGAATAGGATCTGGTGCAGAGACCAGCCATGAGAACACAGGATTAGTCAAGTTTAGTAGTAACAAAGGCAAGGATTATGTGGTGGACAGCAAATGAGACAAAATAGTTGAAACAGATGGTGGAAGGGTAGAATTGAGACTTGTTGGCATACATATTTGTTTTCAGATGATGTTGCAATGGGGAACCATTAAGGTTGAGGGCAGGACAGATCTTTGGGGAATAATAATGTACCAATGCAGAAGCAGGAAGAGAGGCTGATGCAATAGACTTTCTGGTTAGGTCTTATTAGATAAGGCATTCCAGATCCAACAAGGCACAGTCACACTGAAACTAACGGAATTGAATGGGCAAATCAAGTGGATGCTTATGCCTCAGATGAAATGTTGTCAGCGTGATTAAGGACACTTGTATTTGTTGGCAGCCATGTGTGAAATGCACTGAGTTACAGAGAAGACATGACTCAGTCAACACTGTCAACCCTGTCCACCGTCCCTACTCCAAATGTTGCCAAAGCATCAGTTACAGAATTTAGGAGAGGCACAAAACACGTGTACTACAGGGTGAGGTCCCATTACCTCAATTAAATGAAATAGTATTTTTCTATTATATAGCTGAAGGAGCAGGAACGGATGGAATTCAAATATGGACTTGGAAGAAGAAATATAAACTGGAATTTAAGGTTGTCCACTTTTTTTATTCAAGTACGGAAATCCTCCTCCATGTTGCATTACACATCCAAATTCATAGAGGGCAGGTTCATCCCTTCACCACACAATGGCTATTCTGGCGCTTTCATTCAGAAACCAATTGGGGGTTTCTGTTTACTAATTACAGTCAACATGGTGACACAACACAGAGGCAATGGTACCCTACTGCCAAGCAAACACATGCTGTTGTGTTCAATTTCATGCTGAACACCAAATCTTACCTGTGATCACAAAGCAATAAACTATAATTCTGCATGGGGTTGACCTGTGAACTGTTACTTGGGCATGGTTTGAAGCACAGCAGATTTATAAATGTCAGTTACTACTAAACATCAAATGCAGGCACTAAATTCTGGAGAGATTTGATTGCCATCACCATTTAGATGAGAAGACAAATTCAGTCCCAATGGAGCTCAGTCTTTGAGGGCTCTAGAAGCTCTATTACATGACAGGATGCAGGGGCCACACCCCTCATCATCCCAGCCCCAGAATTTTAAAGTCAAAAATAAAGTATTTGTTTCCAATGGGGGAGGCATGGTGGCTAAATAGTTAGCACTGTTGCCTCACAGCGACAGGGACCTGGGTTAAGTTCCTGCCTTGGGCGACTGTCCGTGTGGTGTTTGCACATTCGCCCTGTGTCTGCATGGGTTTCCTCAGGGTGCTCTGGTTTCCTCCTACAGTCCAAAGATGTGCAGGTTAGGTGGATTGGCCATGCTAAATTGCTCATTGTGTCCAAGAATGTGTAGGTTAGGTGGATTAACCATGGGAAATGCAGGGTTACAGGAAAAGGGAGGTGAGTCTGGGTGGGGATGCTCTCCAGAGCTCAGTGTGGACATACTGGGCCAAATGGCCTGTCTCTATACGGTACAGATTCTAAAAATGCAAAAATGTCCACCAGGATCCATCTGCATTTGTGCAGTTGCACCTGTTCTGGAGGAATGAAACCCTGTTCACAGCATTCCTCTTAATTTTCAATCAGTGCCAAGTGTCCTCCAAAAACGGAGCTGGCTCAACTCCTCAAACTGCCCATATTCCAATCTATAATAATCCCATTGAGGGCTGTTACTGTTTGGAGAACTGTTGTTCACAAAAAGATGAATCAGTTAACATTTCAGAAATCAAGGTAAGACACTGCTCCTGCTCACAGCAACAGCTAATGTGGTTAATTAAGACCTGTGAAAACAACAATAACAAATTTCAGTGCAAAGCAAAGGCAGATGAGAGTTCTCAGTTTGAATTATAGGTCAGGCAGCACAAACGCAGTCATGGAATGTTACTATGTTGTCAGGTGCCACTCTCTTGCCTTTCACATTCGCGGCCTGCAACGCTCATAAACACAGCCAGTGAAAAATTCAGTTTTCTTCTGATGTACTCAGTGTCTATGCAGATGAAAGATAGAAAAATAGGACGAGTTGGAAGTTATCCAAGCTCTGAAATAATGAATCACTTCAGCATGAGATATGTATCTGTCAGCGAATAGGTCACACTCCATATTTAGTGTTCAGTTCTGGAGTTGCCATTTCACTGAACAATGCAACCAATTCAGCAGATTCAACAGACAGAACATAGTATAGATCTACTCCAAAACCTTAGAGAACATAGTACAAAATGTCCACTCCAGAAGCTATAGAATAAGAACTTTGCACCTGAATCATAATCTTAAGAACTCACCTGGTCTAGGAACCTCAAGTCCTCTTTCTCTGTAGAAATCATGAAGTCGCTTTTTTTCACCTGAGTACAAAGAAGCTCACATTACTCAGTGACTAAATATAGGAATGAGAGCATTTGACTTTTAACCAACTAAACTCTTAGTGACTGGTGAGGTGAGCAACCCAAAAACAAATTATAGGAGTGAGGATTATAGGTTAAAAATTCTGACTGGAAAATACAGGGTTAACTCCCAATGTCCATCACACCCAACAGGGACACATAACTAAATTTAGAAGAATGCGAGATCATCTTACTGAAACATATAAGATTCTGAGGGGACCTGACAGGGTAGATGCTAAGCGTATAGCTCCCCTTGGAGTGGAATACAGAGCCCAGAGGGCACAGTTTTAAAATAAGGGGTCTCAAATTTAAGACTGTGGTGAGGAGAACTTTTTCCTTTCATAGAGTTGAAATTTGGAACACTTTTCCCCAGAAAACTCTGGAGTCACAGTCATTGAATATATTCAACATTGTTTTTATCTACAAGGGACTGCAAGCTTATTGGGGTCAGACAAGCAAGAATGAGAAATAAAATCACAATCAGATCAGCCATGATCTTATTAAAGGTGAAGCAGGTTTGAGGGGCCAAACGGCCTCCAACTGCTCATTTTTCTTATGTCCTTATTGTCTTCTTTGTACATTACACCTAGACTGGTGCAGTAAAGATCAGGATCCTCTGTGTCTAATAAACCCAGACTGGGGCAGTGAGGGTTAAAACCGTAGTGTTAATTACATCCAGGCCTGATGCGACAGTGTGTGGGAGCAATGCAGAGCTTTCCTATTTCTTTATTCTGGTCAGGCACCCATGAACCACACTAGATACTAGTGAACATCTTTACTGTTTAGTCAGGACATTTCCATTTTGCATATGCAGCAAACTTGCTGAACTGGGAAACTGTTGCATCCATGTGAACTCAGTAAAGTGGCTGGTAACATTCATTCTGCCGACTTTCAGGAAATAACAAGCTACTGTTCTTGAAAACTTATTTAGTGTGATTACCATCACTTACTGCTTTCTAAGTTGGGCACTAGCTTGTAAACGATATCTTGTAGTTTTCTGTCCAGTCTAAAGAAATTAAAGAAAATAAATAGAATCACACATTAAGCAAAAAGGACTAAGTGGGTAAAACTGTAACAGTTTGTTTAATGTGAGAAAGAGTGGGCTCATCTACTTTGGATTTCAAAGATAAATTACATTACTTTCTTATTGGTGAGAATCTAGGAGGTATGTGCATCTTTAGAGGATTTGAATGATTATGTAGTGAATTGCTAAAAGCTGGTACGTAGTGTAAAAATTAATCTGAAAAGAAAATAAAATGTTGGCCTTTATTTAAAGCAGCTGGAATAGAAAAGAGAGGAATGAATGCTTTATGTAACAAGAGCCTTGATCAGAGCAGAATGAAAATCAAACTGTTCGCTACACAGGTAGAATCGCTAGATCAATACTGAGGCTGAAAGGTTTACATGATTAGTTTGGATTACATAAGTTAAGTTTCTATTCCTTTTCCTGATCCCTGCCATTCCCCCGCTCACCTTATGTTATATAGCGGTTGTGTCTGATGGACAATAATGTTGCATTTTGGACAACGGTTGCTGTAGTCAAAATGTTTCACAATACAGCTCTTACAGACTGCAGAAACAGAAGGAAGAAATTTCACAATGAAACAGGATACATTGAAAAGATTCTGATAGTCAATCAAGCCAGCAACATAGATACAGTCAGAAATGTTGAGCACTTCCATTGCAGTTTCCAAATTATGAAATTCCACAGTGAAATAATAGAAACTATTACCATAAAAGGGGAATCATCATAGATTAGAGATGAATCATTCAGAAGTGAAGTCAGGAAGTACGTTGCTCAAAGGGGAGTGAAAATTTGGAACTCGCTCCTCCAAAAGGTGTGGATGCCGAGGATCAGTAGAAGCATTTGAACTGAGACTGATTGTTTCCAAAGAAGGGACACTGGACCTGAAACTCTGCTTTCTCTCCACAGAGCTGCCAGAACCGCTGAGGTTTCCCAGCAATTTCTGCTTTTGTTTATGATTTCCAGCATCTGCAGTTCTTTGTTTATTTTGTTGTTACAGATAGATTGTTGGGTAAAGGTCAAGGGATATAGAGAAACAGCGGGGAAATGGATTGAGGTACAGACCAATTATGATCGAACTGAATAGTAGAATAGGCTTGTGAGGCGAAAAGGCTCTTCCTGTTTTTATCTGTGATCTTGGTGTATCTTGGCAATTCATTGCTGCATTGCTTTTAGTAACTGCACAATATAATCACTCTATGGAAATGTTTTAATATGTATCTGAACATTGATATAATCCAACAAAGTAGTTTTATTTTGCACATTACTAGAAGCATACTAACAGGTGAAGCAATCAGTGATTGTTAAGTGGCCTTGCTACGGAAGGGCCATTTGTCTGTGTAATTGTACTTACATGTGTGCAGACATTCTGTGATGGTAGTCGCATCAATAAAGTAGCCTCCACAGACAGGACACAGAATATATGGATTCACATCAGCTAGACAAATACTCTGCTGGAAAGAGATCAGATCCTTTCAGTGCGTTTCACTGGTAAAGGGATCTGGACTTATAACACATCTGTCCAGAACATCTGTTGCTTAACATAGGAAATAGGAGCAACAGTAGTCTATTCTTTAATGTCCACTCTGCCATTCAATAGATCATGATTGATCTTCCACCTCCCAGCGCTGTCTTTAAAATCTAGAAATTTATCACTTTTATTCTTATTAAGCTCATCAGTTTAATCAGAAGAAAAGGAACCAGAAAACTAGAAGTGACACAGTGAGGCTACACAATGTAGTCATTTATTGTAGTGTGAGGTGCTTTACAGAGACTTGTTAATTTTTAAAATGTACATATGTTCATTCTCTCCTAACCCATGGAGTCCCTGAGAGACTAAAAATCTGTCTATCTTCACCTTGTGTCATGTTGAATCTTGTTAAAGTTCTGCTCAGAACCCAGCTTGCGTCCACTTCTGGGTATGACACTTCAGGAAGGATGATTCCAGGGCTGATGGTGTGGTTTAGTTCTGAGGTTAAGTTAGAAAGGCTGGAGATGATCTCCCCGGAAGGAGTGTATGGATATGATAAGCATAAAATAAACACTAAAATCTATTCTCATTAGCTGATCATAGAATGACTAGGGAATACAGACTTATGTTTCTGGGCAAGAGATGCAGAAGGAATGTAAAATGGAACTTTTTACACAGCAAGTGTTAATGACAAGGAACCTGCTACCCATGAGGATATTGCAAGTTGAAATGATCAACAATTTCAAATCAAAACTTGATCGGGATTTCAAGGATATAAACACATAGGGATCAAGTGTGGGAATGGGATTGAATGGATGAGAATGAGAATGTAAATGGATGAACCAGCATGAACCTGACAGGCCAAATGGTCTCGTTCTGTGTCATAAATGATTCTTTGACTTAAATATGGATCTGAATAAAGGAACTGAGAGCATTGTTGCCAAGCTTACAGATAACACAAACATAGGTGACGGGTCACGTATTGTTGATGAATCAGAGAGGCAGCAGAAGGACTTGGACATGCTAGTTCACCGGTCAAAGAAGTGGCAGATGGAATACAAGAGGCAAAGTATGTGGTTACACATTTTGGTAGAAAGAATAGAGGCGTATATTTTTTTCTAAATGGAGAAAGGCTTCGGAAATCTGAAGCACAAAGGGACTTAAGAGTCCTAATTGAGGATTCTCTTAAAGTTAATGTGCCAGTTCAGTAGGAGGTTAGGAAGGCAAATGTAATATTGACATTAATTTCTAGAGGGTTAGAAAACTAGAGCAGAGATGTGCTGCTGAGGCTGTATAAAGCTCTGGTCAGTCTGCATTTGGAATAGTGAGCAATTTTGGTTCCTGTATCTAAGGAAAGATGTGCTGACATTGGAGGGGGTCCAGAGGAAGTTTACAAGAATGATACTGGGGTTGAAGGGCTTGTCCTATGAGGAACGGTTGAGGACACAATAGTTTAGAAGGATGAGGTGGGATCTGATTGAAACTTATAGGATACTGAGAAGCCTGGATACAGTGGATGTGGGGAAGATATTTCCAATGGTAGCAGAGACTAGTACCCAGAGGGGCAGCAGCCTCAGGGTGAAGGGGCAACCCATTAGAATTGAGATGAGGAGGAATTTCTTCAGCCAGAGGGTGGTGACTCTGTGGAACTCATTGCTGAGAAACTCTATTATTATTATTGTTGACAGAAATTCATATGTAAACTGTCATGATGTAACCACACCCTCTCACCAACAGAGGCATCACCTCACCATGGGTGGGAAAGTCAATCCAAGCAGGTTGGAAGCACATGATCATTGATGCTGAGGGACTGTTCAAGGAGAGAGGACGTATACTAACATCACATAATTTCCATTATAAATGGGAATTTTAAATCAGAAATCTAAAAATAAGAATGGCTGAACAATGGCAAATGGAATTTAATCCTGAAAAGTGTCAGGTTGGCAGGACTAACAAGACAAGGGAGTACATATTGAATGAAAGAACCCTAGGAAGTACAGAGGATCACACAGACTTTGGTGTGTACAACTATAGATCCTTGCAGTCAACAGAACAGCTGGATAAGGTGAGATAACAAGGTGTAGAGCTGGATGAACACAGCAGGCCAAGCAGCATCAGAGGAGCAGGAAAGCTGACGTTTCGGGTCGAGACCCTTCTTCAGAAAATTTCCTGCTCGGCCTGCTGTGTTCATCCAGCTTTACACCTCATTATGTCAGATTCTCCAGCATCGGCAGTTCCTACTAACAGCTGGATAAGGTGTTTAAAAAGGCATGTGGGATACTTGCCTTTATGAGTCAAGACACTGAATACAAGAGCTAGGAAGTTATTATGGAACTGTGTGTAACCTTAGGTCACTGTATGCAATTCTGGATGCTACACTATAGGAAGGATGTGCTTGCAGTAGACAAGGTGCAGAAGAGATTCACCAGAATTGTTGCCTCAGCTAGAGTGAGCTATGATGACAGACTTGACAGGCTGGAGTCATTTTCCATAAAGCAGTGAAGGCTGGGACAGATTTGATTAAGTATAGAGTTCTAAGGGGTCTAGACAGGGTAGAAGAGAAACATTCCCCATTAGTAGAGGTAGTCAGAAGTCACATGGTAAGAGGTTATAGTCACATTCGAAATTTCGCATCTTGTGATTTCGAATAAACCTGTTGGACTATAATCTGGAGTGGTGTGACTTCTGACTTTGTCCACCCCAGTCCAACAGCAGCACCTCCACATCTTAGGAGAGGGAGCAAAACCTTTGAGGGAGGAATTTGAGGAAAGAAAGCTGTACCCAGAGAGTTGTGGTACTAATCAGGAACTTAGTTCTTATTTCACTGGGACATGGGAGGTTGAGGGGCGACCTGATAGAAGCTTATAAGATTGTGAATGGCATGGATAGAGTGGAAAGTATGAGGCTTCTTCCCAGGGTAGAGGGGTCAAGTTTAAAAGAGCTGTGCAAGGCAAGTGTTTCACACAGAAGGTGGTGAGTGCCTGGAACACACTGCCAGAGGAGGTGGTGAAAGCAGACACAGTTACAGCATTCAAGAAGCACCTAGACGAATTCATGAATAGGAAGGGAATAGAGGGATACCGATCCTGTAAGTGGAGATACTTTTAGTATGGAAAGGTAAAACGTGGCAGCAGGTTTGGAGAGCCGAAGGGCCCGTTCCTGTGTTGCACTGTTCTTTGTTCTTATTCTAAAAGGGTGGTAGAGGCAGAAACACACAAGACATTTTACAACTATTTAGATAAACATTTGAAACGCCATAGAATACAAGATACACAAGATACCAGAAAATGGGACTAGTATCGATATTCGATGACCACCTTGGACAGGATGCGCAAAGTGCCTTTTTCCGTAGCGTAATTAATCTCAGAAGACTACGTAACAGTGTTGTGGTAATATAGTAGTCTTGCAAACAGAAATCCCAAATACTAAACTTCGACTGAAATGAATCAGAGATTTGCGGCCAGGAAGAAAATGTGTAAGGAGCATGCGCTGTTTTAATTACTCAAGAGCCCTGTCAAGACCAACGCAAAGACTGCTCCTCCTGGCCGTACTATGCCCCGCCCCCTTCACCATGGCCCCACCCTCCTGATGACTGAAAGTGTTCCCGTGCTGGGATGATAGTGGCCTGCGCGTGCGCACTGCACTAACTCCTCCTGCATCCCGGCAGACTCCGCGCTCTTACCAAAACAGAGCCATGGTGGGAAAGTGCGGGAAACGCCGGGCGCTGAGCCGGGCCCTAGCCGGCAGCTGATTCTGTCCATGGGCTTGATTCTGCAGCTCCTTCGGTTCCTGGGACCCAGCCCGACCGCGCTCCCTCTCACATCCGCTTTTGAGCTCACTTTACCTCATCTTGTGCCACTTCTCCCTCAGATGATTCATCCTCCTCCTGCCAGGACTCTAGCTCACTGTTTCCGGCTGAGCTACTTCGACTGTCAAATCGAGAGAATCCACCGAAATCCATCTCTTCCTCATCGGATCTCGACATCGCTCTGCGCGCTTCCCCCTCCGCATAGGCAACCATGGACAGGATCTCCGCAACTGCGCTTGCGCAAATCTCTTGCCAGCTGGGAGTTGTAGTCCTATCGTTGCAGGTAGACTACAGCTCCCAGTAAACCCTATGATATGGTACTGCCCATGCGTATAGTTGACCGGGAGACTACAATTCCCGGCATCCCTTTGGGCGACAGCAAGGTGCAGGGCTGGATGAACACAGCAGGCCAAGCAGCATCATAGGAGCAGAGAGGCTGACGTTTCGGGCCTAGACCCTTCATCAGAAAAGGGGGAGGGGAAGGGGGTTCTGAAATAAACAGGGAGAGAGTGGGAGGCGGATAGAAGATGGATAGAGAAGAGGAAACAGACAGGTCGAAGAGGCGGGGATGGAGCCAGTAAAGGTGCGTGTAGGTGGGGAGTTAGGGAGGGGATAGGACGGACAGGTCAAGGGGGCGGGATGAGGTTGGTCGGTAGGAGATGGAGGTGCGGCTTGAGGTGGGAGGAGGGGATAGGTGGGAGGAAGAACAGGTTAGGGAGGCAGGGACGAGCTGGACTGATTTTGGGATGCGGCAGGGGGAGGGGAGATTTTGAAACTTGTGAAATCCACATTGATACCATTGGGCTGTAGGGTTCCCAAGCGGAATATGAGTTGCTGTTCCTGCAACCTTCGGGTGGCATCGTTGTGGCACTGCAGGACCACTCTCTCCCTATTTATTTCAGAACCCCCTTCCCCTCCCCCTTTTCTGATGAAGGGTCTAGGCCCGAAACGTCAGCCTCTCTGCTCCTATGATGATGCTTGGCCTGCTGTGTTCATCCAGCCCTGCACCTTGTACATGAAAGAGTTGGTGTCTGGGCCAGACAGATAGCCGACTCCAGGGTTGATCTTGTATTTGGTACAAAGTAGCACCTTGCTGCACCCTTACACATTTGGTCCCAAAAATAACCCCAAACAATATGTTCTACAGAGAGACTAGGTCGGCTGGGGTAAATAAAGCAGATGTACAAAATTATTTCATTGGAGGCAGTTCAAAGAAGGCTCACTAGGCTGATCCCTGGTATTGAGAGAATGTCTTACGTACAAAGGTTGGGACTCATTGGAATTTAGAAGAATGAGAGTGACCTCATTTGAGACATACAGGATTCTTAAGGGGCTGGACAGGGGAAATGTTGAGAGGATGGTTCCCCTTATGGAAGAGTCTAGAACCAGAGGGCGCAGTCTTAGAATACAGATGAGGAAACCTTTTTTTCTCTGAGGGTTGTGAGTCTTTAAAACTCCTTACAGCACAAAACTGTGGGGACAACAGAGTCATTGTGTAGATTTAAGACTGATGTAGATACATAGATTTGTAATCAGTAGGGGAATTCAGGGTTGTGGAGAAAATGCAGGAAAGTGGACGTGAGGAATGTTGAAGCAGCCATGATCGTTTGAATGGTGGAGCAGGCTCAAGTGGCCGAATGGCCTACTCCTGTTCCTATTTCTTATGGTCTTATGAGGGGTATAGACAGGGAGAATCTTTTTCCCTTAGCAGCTGGGCAAATAACCAGGGGAGCACAGTTGTAAGGGTAAGGAGCTGGAGGTTTATAGCAGTTTTAAAGAATACTTTTTGCACCCAGAAGAATCCACTGCCTAAAATGGTGATAGAAAAAGGAACCTTCAAGACATTTAAGAAGTATTTAGATGAGCACTTGAAATGCCATAGCATACAAGGCTATGTGCTGGAAAATGAGATTTAAATAGATATATGTTTGATGACAGCCATGATTCAATACGCTGAAGAGTGCCTTTCAGTGCTGTAAAATTCTGTAGGAATGATTACATTTTGCCTTCCACATCTTCTCCACAACCTGTGACTGGGGTAACCATCTTGCCTCAATGCTCCAACTTTCCCCGTTCCATGGAATAAAATAGATCTCAAGAGGACAGAACTGAGTTTGAAACTCAGCTAAAACAATTAGAAGAAGAGGACTGATGAAGGCAGAGCTGTGGACATGATCTATATGGACTTCATTAAGGTATTCGACAAGGTTCCTCATGGTAGACTGGTTAGCAAGGTTAGATCACATGGAATACAGGAAGAACTAGCCATTTGGTACACAATTGGCTCAAAGGTAGAAGACAGGGTGGTGGTGAAGGGTTTCTTTGCACACTGGAGGCCTGTGACCAGTGATGTGCCACAAGGATTGGTGCTGGGTCTACTGCTTTTCATCATATATATAAATGATTTGGATATGAACGTAGGAGATATGGTTAGTAAGTTTGCAATGACACCAAAATTGGAGATGTAGTGGACAGCAAAGAAGGTTACCTCAGAGTACAACGGAATCTTGATCAAATTGGCCAATGGGCTGAGGAGTGGCAGATGGAGTTTAATTTAGATAAATGTGAGGTGCTGCATTTTGGAAAGGCAGATCAGGGCAGGACTTATACACTTAATGGTAAGGTCCTGGGGAATGTTGCTGATCAAAGATACCTTGGTGTGCAGGTTCATAGTTCCTTGAAAGTGGAGTTGCAGGTAGATTGGATAGCTACTTTTAGGCCACTTTTGGAATACGGTTTGCAATTCTGCTCTCCCTGCTACAGGAAGGATGTTGTGAAACTTGAAAGGGTTCAGAAAAGATTTACAAGGATTTTGCCAGGAATGGAGGATTTTAACTATAGGGAGAGGCAGAATAGGCTGGGGGTATTTTCCCTGGAGTGTCGGAGGCTGAGGGGTTGGATAGGGTAAATAGACAAGGTCTTTTCCCCGGAGTGGGGGAGTCCAAAACTAGAGGGCATAGGTTTAAGGTGAGAGGGGAAAGATTTAAAAGGGACCTAAAGGGGCAACCTTTTCATGCAGAGGGTGGTGTATGTATGGAATGAGCTGCCAGAGGAAGTGGTGGAGGCTGGTACGATTACAACACTTAAAAGGCATCTCGTTGCATATATGAATAGAAAATGTTTAGAGGGACATGGGCCAAATGCTGGCAAATGGGACCAGATTTATTTAGGATATCTGGTTGGCATGGACAAGTTGGACCGAAGGATCTGTTTCTGTGCTGTACATCTCTATGACTCTAAGTTGCTTTCAGAAAAAAAAGGAATATTTTAAAGTGCAGTAGATGATTATTTTAGGAGGCAGAGGCCATTGAAAAATTCTTCACTATGTATTTAACTTTATTATTATAGAAAGACATGTCCTATGGTTTCACAGAAATATAATCAGACAAAAAAATCAACACAAAGCATTGAACAGCTGTTGAACAGCTTGGCCAAGCAGGGGGCCATCAAGGACAGTCTTGAGAGAATGTGGCAGAGTTTTATTGGGGGAATTCCAGAGCTAAGGGGCAGTCAGCTAAAAATCTCCCAAGTGCAAAATTCCAGAGGGTTGTGAGGGCAGATGAGTTTACAGACATAGTGGAGAGGGCATGAACAGATTTGAAAACAAAAATGAAGATTTTTAATTGAATAGTGTTTGGGGGATCAAAATCAATTGGCAAACACAGAATCAATTGTTCAATAGCAGTTGGGTCTACTGATGAAAGGTCATTGATCTGAAATCTTAACTATATTTCTCTATTTACAGAACCTGCTCAAGCTGCTGAGCATTTCCAGTATTTTCTGATATTATC